AAGAAAGAAACCCATCTTCTACATACGTAGCAGCAATGTAAACAACTAGCAATATGGATTATCTCTTCAAATCAATCTCTTCAAATTCAGGCTAGAAACATTAGTCACTGCCTGTAAAGTAGCCGATATAAGTTCAGTAGATGATGTAAAAAACTGGTTTATCGTTCATACACCCCCTTCAACATTGGAACTGGAACTCTGCCTTAAAAAGTTCACAATCGTGGAAGAAACTTGTATGTGTGTGTGAAATGGAGTTAAGTATTGTTGACTTGTAAGGTGGTTATCTTTGGCCTGCACAGTCGGGTGATTGTCTAATACAGTAATGTTTACAGTGCTGGGATTGTACGTTCATAGGTGCTTTGAACAGCACATTCTTGCAGCAGGTGGATGAGTGTATTTACAATTCTTACTATTAAGAACGACATGTACCTTACATTTAAATTAACAAAATGTCCGTGCCATAGCTTGACTGTCTGTAACATTTCACCATATACTACTAATCGGACTTCTGACCTATCAGAGTGGGTGTATAATGAATTCAGTTATTCTGTATTGTGTTCAGTTATCAGTTTTATTTTTATTTAATTCTGTTTAGTTTGACTGGCTGTTAGAACCTTTTTGTTTATAATATTGTTTCCCTTGTTTGTCAAAATGTACGTGTCATGATATTTCGCGTGTTTTCTAAGGAAATGATTAAGGAAAACTATTACTATACTGGTTAGTCACCGAAATTCGACCATTTAAACTTACTTTTTAAAGTTCAGACATAGGAAAGCACCAAGGAAAGGGAAACTGTTTCTGAAAACTACTGTATTTTATCCTTTTACAACCATAAAATATCTTATCTTTATTAAGATGTATTGAGGACATTTATTTCAGTTTTATGTGCAGTTTTTCAATAGTTAGAAATTAAATTTGATGAAAAGAAAAAAACACCAAACCCCATGAATTACTCAGTTCTACATGAAAGGCTCTTGGCTGCACTAAGGATAACGTGTCCTCGCAAGATTAATCTCACTCAAACTGGGAGTTGTGCACCTCTTTCTACTGGACTCCATTCTCCAGGAGGATCTTATGTGTTGATTGGCAAACCAAACTAGCAGAGATTTCAGAAGTGCTTACTGGTAGCCAACTTGGAATAATATAGAGATCATCCCAATTGGTCGCAGGATGTTCTGATATTTAATTATTATAGTGGCCATCCTCTTCTGAAAGTCTGATGTAACTATAAGAAATCAAACAGGTTCTGCAGTTCAGGTAAATTTTATTGCTGCTCTGTTAATTGGCTTGGAGACTGGATCAAAATCCTAGACATGCCTCTTTGCATATGCAGTGATAGGCCTTTATATAGGAGTGGACTTTTAGACTATATCACGATCTCATATCTTAGTCTCGCCTTAGTTGTTTAATCACACCAATAAAACTGTACATTAAAATGGTACCATTGTAATAGGAGGTTTAAGGAAATGTATATAGAGTGTGAATAAGTCAAATTTAAAGAAAAGAAAAGAGATTTGATATAAAGAATACATTCATAAGCCACTGTTGAAGTAATGGGTGTTGTCTATAGTCTTTTTGGCCATGGTCAGCTTCTATATACGTGCAACTTGTAATGAAATCTGGACGTCAAATTTACATATGATAAATACAGTTTTACTTGGAACTATGTTGCAGTTCAAGCACTGCAGAATTATTCACATTGTCATATCACCCACAGGAAAAAAGAGACTCATTGTTCAAAAAGTATAAATCCCTTTCCTTTATTTCTATCTCTGCATTTGACCAGTACACCACACGTAATGAAAAATTAATTAAAGAACTGGCTAGTGCCAACTACACTTGAGCATATGTGACATCATAAGAGCAGGAATATTCGCAGCTGGGTGCACACTGTTTATGAGGAACTTCTAAATAAATACAAACTCTTGTGCTAAAACTTTGAAAATAACTTCACGAATATGCTTTAATAAAAATACATTTGTTTTCTATAATATGAAAGACTTTCAGTAATCTCTAATAATAATAAAAGGACGTGTCTATGTGTGTGTGACCACCTTAACTCCAAGAGGTAAGAACC